AGAGATGGAGGTGAGTGATTTTTAAGCTTTCATATAAGAATGCATTTTGCGGAAGTGCTTGTTCTGACATTTATGCGCAATAGGTCATCCTTTTTCACTCAGTTGCGCAGTGAGTCTCATATAAACGGATTTTCAGATATTTCAAGGATTTGTGTTCGAAACGACGAAAGAGGAGAAGGAGCGACGAGAATGGGAAGAGTTAGAATTGAGTAGAGCAAGGGGAGAAGCATATGATCAGGGAACTTTCCAGCGACAAGGAGGAGGCGCTGGCGCTTTTGGTGCTGGATTGGACAAAGTTTATGCTTCACCTCGCATCCCAGCTTAATATTTTTTCCACTCAGCTGCGTTTTCATCGGTCTTCAAAAGACGCATTAATAATTGTTGGTTCATCCTTTAATCTGATGTCGTAATGAAAACTGAAAAATCAGCGATGCGAGCAATCCAGGTTTCTGTGATCTCAACCTTAAATTTTTCGTTTCGATTGTTTCGTATCGTTTTTATTTCAGAGATTTGCAAATGAGCTGGCATGATTTAATTCATATTCGCAAATTTTTATTCTTTTATGCTTCTCAGAAAAGTTTCATTCTCTCATTTTGCCTAATTTTCTAGTTGTTGTTTCTTCGTAGAGCTTCCAACCTTCTCATCTGCTTGATTTATTCTTGCGTATTACTGCTTTTAATGATCCCCAAATACAGTATTTTTGCGAAAAAGAAAAAAAAGTTGTCAGAAAAGCGCTTGCAATTATTCGTATCACGAGTTAATATCCTTGCGAGTTAACATCCTGTTAGATTATGGTATCACTGTAGGTGGCGTACATCCATCAAACAGTTGATAATCACTAACCGAACATGTGCAGCGCAGGAGTAGTGCTGTGTCGGAGTTCTGGGAGCAAGGCATATCTGCGCCCCAGTAGGATCACTAATAAAAAATGGCATCTCCACACCGATTGCCCAAGGCACAAGATGATTTCCTGGAATGATTTTTCAGCACTGCGTTCGTTTGACAGTCCAAACTTATCTCTTTTTACTTTTTTTTTGCTTTTGTCTTGCCGCTTTCCAGCTGCAACACATTCCAGATTGTTGTTATTTGCCATATTTATCAGATTGTTTCTCATGCACTGTCTGTTGTCTGTTGTCCATTCAGCAATTCACTTGTACGCCACTTGTTCAGTTTGTGATACTTTGATAAATCAAATACATACACTCTCGCTTTTTCAAGCATTCTTTCAGTAACGTATTAAGCTATTAGCATATTTCGATCGGTTAATTTGCTCCTCGAACCATAAGGGAGGCAACTTTTCCCTCTTCGTTTTGACCAATGTTAAATCGCCTGGCGAATAGCCAATTGGCGATTCCTTGCTCGTTTTCTCTGGGAAGTAAGTTGCGAGTTTAATGGATCTCCTATCAAATTATTTACCGAAGCTTTAGCCTCCTTAGCATATGTGTTAGTGTACGTGTTGGATCATCAGCACCTTGGTCCATCAGTTGCCACTTCCGGTCTACGATGAAGTGCTTCATCTTTGGTAGCTTGCTGAATGGTTTTTTCTAGAAATTCGCAAACAGAACCAGCTGGAGGCCAACCATCCGGATTGCCTGGAACTGATTCTTTAGTTTCCGGCGCTTGTCGTAGATGTATAAGGTTTCAGCTTGCATTCCACGGTTTTCGAGTTTTAGTGCAATTTTTTATAATGCAGCCGGGGATAATTAGATTAAAGTAACCAAAGTTGACCCTCCCCTAGCTCTCACAAGCAGTGGTAGATTCTCGAAAATGGCGCTTCGAGTGGCGATTTGTGCTTAGTGAAGCTATCGGTGGCTCGTTTCAAAGACTGCTTCTGATCGAGAAATTGGTAGATTTGGCTTGCCGGTATGCTTCGGTGCTACGCCATCGTCCAAACAAACAGTTAACCCAGGCTGGAATGCACCAGACTTATCGGTGCGACCATACGTTTTTGCACCAGACTTGAAGTACTCAAATCGTTGACCACGTGACTGATTGTTTCTTTACAACTGCCTTTTGCGCTCACTAACGCAAATTATCGTAAATTTTGCATAAAGGAAAATGAACAATTTCAGTTTCGCGGTCGTTTCTTGAAGATGAGTTAAATATTCAGTGAGCAGTTTTCTCACCAGAAGTTTTAAGTGCTCGTGCGTGAGAACCACACATCCCTGGAGGCTGAATTTGAAATATTTAAACTGTACTTGGAGACAGGGAAAGTTCCCGTAAAATTTCAGCTTTCTAGCTTCTTTAGTTCCCGGGTTAGTAATTTTCTCTCCAGATCCTTCAGATGCTCGTACGTGAGAAGTTGAGTTTGAAATATTTAAGTTGTACTTGGACGGGGGGACATTCCCTTAAAACTTCAACTTTTTCGCTTCTCTGGTCCCCGAATTAAACCTTCACATGCCCGTGCGTGAGTACCACATGTGTCGGGAGGACTGAATTTGAAATTTTTAAACGGGGAATATGGACGGGTTATACACCCTTAAGATTTCAACTTCCCAGCTTTCTTGGTTGACGAGTTCACGTGCTCGCATGTGATTGCCAGGCGTATCTAGAGGTTGGGTTTGAAATATTTAAGTTGTGCTTGGACAAGGGACATTCCATTAGAATTTCAGCTTTCTAGCTTTTCTGGTCTCCAAGTTAGTAATTTCCCCGCCAAAACTTTCACTTGCCTGTCCATGCGTACCATGCATACCGGGGGCTGGATTTGAAATCCTTAGCTCAAATGTGCACAAAGAATACCCTTACATGCTTTAAGCTCTCATCCTTGTCTCTTTCCCGAGATCGCTTTCCTGCCAAAAATTTTGCATCGTTTTTCAAATTTTTCATCGTACGCGACACCCAGGCGTGCGCGGCTGATGGGAGGGTCGCGCATGGTGTAGGCACATACTCCCGACGTTTCAGCCTGCTGGCTTTTCTGGTTCTCGAGCTGAAAATGGGTGACAAAATGTGCGAACACACAGACACATGCACACTTATATACACACACAGAGCATTTTGCCAGTATGCGTTTTTGCATATATGCAAATGCAAAAACGCATAAAAATATTTTCTGACAGGTGAAGTCGAACAGTCTGAGGGACGTTGCTGGCAAAGACAGTGGCAAAAAGTGCAGATGAATTATTCGAATGGTTCACTGAGATAGAATAGTAAAGGTAGTTAGAGTATCTGGCTGTATAGATTAGTCATTACAGTGCAACGTACTGGTGGGGAAGGCATTGTCTCTCTCCCTTTCTGTGATAAGCCGAATGAAGGATTTGCTAATTGTTTTGGTGCTCCGCTGGATTCGCAATCGGTCTTTTAAAGTATTAGCACCCTTCTGCATTTTTCCCAGTTTGCTGGGATCTTATTGGAATTTTGGATATCGGAAAATTTGAGCGCTAAGTGTTAAGCAAAGTTCTGCGTTTTCAGCGCGAAATTAATCCGCTCTAAGTTTACCTTTTTATGCGTTTTTTGCTGTGCAACAGCAGCACAAAACGCATATTGTCACGGGGTTGTCTGTGTGTTTGTGTGTCCGCAGCAACTTGTCCGCAACTTTAAACTCGGGAACCACAAAAGCTAGGAAGCTGAAAATTTAGGGGGACGTTCCCCATCCACGTGTGACCCCGCAAATTCAAATTCAGTTACCCCGTATCCGCGGGTAACGCGTATGGCCCTGTGAAAGTTTTTTACCGGTAAATTAATATCTCGGGAACCACGGAGTCTAGGAGGCTGAAATTTTAG